GGGCCTCTAGGGACGCCCCTGGGGAGAGGCGCAGATGGAATCAGACCCGGGGCCGGGAACGGAGACCCCGAGCCAGAGACTCACCAAGTCGTAACCTAAGAGCACCGAGTCGGAGAAGACGCAAAGGCTGAGAGGCAGCGGCAGACGAAAAACACCCGGAGCCGCCACAGACAGATGTAGAAATAGATAAGAGAGAGATATAAAGTCATTGAAGCAGAGTCCGAGGATCTATTAGAAAGGGCCAGGAGCCTGGAGAGAAACAGGTCTAGGGCCAAAGGAACATAGACAATGAAACAAGCAGAGACAAAGAGGCGGAGACATAAAGAGGCCTTGGGGAGACTAAGACTAGGGACAGGTCGACAGCGCTGCAAAGGCCAAGCGGGGAGAGGCTGAAACGTTAAACCCTGTTTCCCAGCTTGGTAGGGCCCTGGCTGGGGCTGTGTTCCAGCGGACCAGGGGCATGATCCCCAAATCTGAAATACAAGTAAGGTTTGTCCTTGGGGGTGCTGCCAGTTTACAGGGACAAGCACACAAATCGTGAAGAAATAAAGGACTTTAAGACCTGCGTTACATGCACCAATAGTGGGAGAGCAGGAAGAATTCTAATCTGTGGGAATGAGTCGGCTTGATTCTGTGTCTGGTATGCATGGGTGTTAGACACAGAAACAAGGGCCACAAGTCAATCAACACTGTCTAGGCCTTGGAAATAACAAAGAAACTCAGGGAGCTCTCAATCCACTAAAGTATGGAAATGTGCAAATGATGTGGCAGATCATGTACTGAAAGGAGTGTGGTACAGAGAGAGTGAGATACTTCTGTAGAGTTTTGTGGCTTTGGACGTGTCTTTAAGGTCATTGTTTGTGTTTGATTCCTGGCTTTGTCATTTACTACTGTCTGATGCTGGGAAACTTGTTTCCTGAACTGTAGAATGGGAACAATAATACCTAATTTGAATGATTGAGGATTAGTATGTTTTAAACACTTTGCAAAAAATATCAGCTATTGGTCTTTTGGCTGAAGTAACCAAGGAAGATGTGGCATTTTTGAGCTGATACTTCAGGGACAGCTAAGATCTCAAAGTCCAGAGTCTGGCTGAATGAAGAACTCCATACAGAGGGAGTGAAATGAAATGAACTGAACAGAGGACCTAGCAGGTTTGGCTCTGTGGTTAGAGCGTCAGCCTGCAGACTGAAGGGTCCTGGGTTTGATTCCGGCCAAGGGTACGTACCTCGGTTGCAGGCTCAATCCCCAGCCCCGTGCAAGAGGCAACAATCGATGTGCCTCTCTCACATCGATGTTCCCCCCCTTCCCTCCTCTTCCACTCTCTCTGAAAAGCAATGGAAAAAAGATCCTCGGGTGAGGGTTAAAAAAAAAAAAAGATGAACAGTGGCCCACATACTAACTAAAAACCTACTATGTGCAGCTTGAGATCCAAAGATGGTTAAGACCTATCCTCAAAGAGGAAAATTGAGAATATTCCTATTTAAATGTGTCATGAATTTACATAATAGGAAAGCAGCGAAAGCTAAAGATAATATGGTAAGTTTATTCATTTGTACCACACACATTTCCTGGGGGTCCATCACGTGCCAGGCACCTGTGCTAGCAAACAGGTAAGAGGTTACAAACAGGCAAAGAGACAGCCTCTCTTGGAAGAACTTTCCCGCCAAAGCTGACCAGCCCACACTTCATACTGTCTTGCAAAGCTAGCTTTGACTTTGAGAAGACAAAGCCCGGAATTTATTAGGTCTGAACCTGAACTCAGGTTTAAAGATACAGAAGCCCTTCCAGGAATGCCTGGTGGGGCCATAGGTAGCTATGAAGACGTGGCAAAATAAAAATAAAAACTAATCCAGAAGATTATTAAATGGAAAAACTGTCCACCATGCATTGCCCCATAGGAAGCTCAAGATGGGACCTTCCTTTCTCTAAACAAGCCCCGGACCTTATCACATGAATGACTAGGCATGATTTGTTTGAGTTAAAAAGCATATAAATGGAATATTGTGTCACTATTAATTCATGCCATCTCTAAACACAAAGACCAGCCACGCACCTTTTCTGCAGAGCAAATTTTAAAAATATTTATTTGTAATTTTAAATTGATCTTTAGAGAGAGAAAGGGAGACAGAAACATTGATTTGTTGTTCCACTTATTTTTTATTATTTTAAATATGTCTTGATTTCAGAGAGAGGAAGGGAGAGGGAGAGAGAGACATCAATGATGAGAGAGTCATTCATTGATCGGCTGCCTCCTGAACCCCTGTTTCTGGGGATTGAGCCCAAAACCTGGGCATGTGCCCTGACGGGGAATTGAACCTTGATCTCCACCTGGCCGGGCGTAGCTCAGCAGTTGAACATTGACTTAGGATCCAGGAGATCATGGTTCGATTCCCGATCAGGGCACATGCCTGGGTTGCGGGCTCGATCCCCAGTCAGGGACAAGCGGGAGGCAGCCGATCAACGACTCTTATCATTGATGTTTCTATCTCTCTCTCTCTCCCTCTCCCTCCTTCTCTCTGAAATAAGTAAAGATATATTAAATAATTTTTTTAAAAAAAAATGAATAATACATGTTATTTTCTTAAAGACTGTTGAGCCCAGCTCAGCGGTTGAGTGTCGACCTATGAACGACGAGGTCACCACTCGATTCCCAGTCCAGGCACATGCCAGGGTTGCTGGGCTCGATCCCCAGCAGGGGGCGTGCAGGAGGCAGCTGATCAATGCCCCTCAACATTGATGTTTCTCTCTCTCTCTCTCTCTCTCTCTCTCTCTCTCTCTCTCTCTCTCTCTCGTCCTCTCTCTGAAATCAATAAAAAAATATATATTTTTGGAAAAAGGCTGTTGAGTAACTCAGGGAAGAGCTGATCAGTCTGAACCCAGGGCAGGGGCAAGAGGGTAGAGGGTATAGAGAGAGGAGGACCAGTTTTTCTGATTGATAGGAAGGCCTTGGAAACCAGCTGGGTATATCTTGTGGAGAGCAAGGGTGGGAGGGGCTCAGTTTTAACTGAGACGATGGGGCTGCTCAGCCTGATGAGTAAGAGGAAGTGTTGTGATAGAGGGAGGAGGGATATTATCCCTTCCCCAGGCTTTTTTTTTTTTTTTTTTAA